AAGCGGAAGAAAATGGATGTGTCAATCTGAATACAACAGTGAGCTATACACTTAGTACTCTCTACAACTTTGCAATAAGGGGACTCACTAAAATCTTGGTATTCCATCCCGGACTTGGGTATTCACATTCCGTTGCTATTTCTTTGTTTCTTTGTTCCGTTGCTATTTCTTTGTTCCAATTTGCATTTGAAAGAGAGTTAGGAACGGTTAATTTGGTTTGGGTCAGGGTTAGGGTTAATAATAATAAAATTATGCATCAGTTTTATACATTTTTTGGACACAAAGACGCCTCACATGTCTTTATTCTTTCACTCCATACACGGTGGTGATAAACTACTACTGTAGCCTAAGCTGCCCTGGGGCACACTGACAGAAGCATTGCAACCAGTATGTGCCATCGGCCCCTCCGACCACCACCAACCATTCACACACACCAGACTCATTCTAGGCAATGGGGGTGAAGAGTCTTGCCTAAGAACACGACAACAGTTTGGCACTTTACAGCCGCACCCGCCCCACTGTGACGCTTGGTCTCCCATCAGAGCACTAACCAGGTTCTGCTCTACTTAGCTTCAGCGGTCTGACTGGATCTGGGTTTAACATGCAGGTAAGATTAAGAACATATTTTGAATTTGAATAAATAATATACAATTCCAGGTTTTAACTCAGACTACTGTATAAAAGTGTTCAGCTGAAGCCAAACAGAATACAAGGAGCAAAGTATGTTTATGTATGCCGTTTTTCTTCCTAGTGCATATATACATTAAAAATGGTTATTCACGGTAAAACACTGGATACATAAGAGGTATACTTTGAACATATAAAATAATAGCTGCAACCAGTGCCTTTAGATTTGTTTGCGTCCCGACCATAGACTGTAATCAGACAAAAACATGTCTTTATTTTTTTTGAAAACATGTTATTGTTGGCATTCAAAGATCCCTTTGAGTCACATTGGGCAGAGAGCTGAAAAATACGTGACTAGTGGTCATACCAAACAGTTTTGAGTGCTGTTTTGTGTTATTTAGATGGATTTCTTACTTACATTTGTTGTGGCGTGAGTGTGAAGAAAGACAGAAAGAAATTGACTAACACATTCAGCATGTGTGAGTGCATAATCAGTTAAAATAGCTCTGTAATATCTGGGTCACACAGGCCCCACTTCCATGCACTGCAGATTCAGAACAGGAGAATATTCAGTCGATGCATGTGACAATACTACATCTACATTAGTCACTCGTTAATGCATGGACCTGTGGCTTCTGCTGCCCCAGGGACGAGAAGACCTCTACACCACCAACACTGGGGAGAGAATTTAAAATGAATATTTCATAATACACCAGTGCGTCTCAACAAATGTATGTGGACATCCCGTCAATAACTGGTTGAAAGATTGATGGCCTATGATGTCCCCTGGTGGAGCATGAAGCAGCTGGTGGAAGAGTTGACACAAGGGCTATTTTTGCTCGTTCTCCTCTTTGGCATAGCATAATTTTTTGTTTGCAGGGGCCCTGCACAGAAATCATTGGTAAAGAAGAGATGCATACTTCCAGGTTATAGCAGAAGATGCTAATTTACACCAGTAGTCCAGAATATACTTTTATACTTAGTCATACAGGTCAGAAGTCCTAGCACAACAATTTATTAGTAAAAATAGGTCAATAGACAAATATGTTTTTGGTCAGTCAAAACTGTATAATTTGTATTTAGTTCATTCGTCCACCACACAACGCTGTGCAATTAGTTTATTTGTGTAATATAAAACAGTATTACAATGAAAGTGCCTCAGATGGCATAGGCCTACCACATACATATTACTATAATAGTTCATATGAACCAACAAGAGCGTTCTGTTCTGTATATTTATATGAAATAAATATATTACAAATATATTCAATTTTTATTTCTGCAATTACTGACAATGACTGGACAAGACTGGACACGACTTGGCCCCGGTTCAGAGCTTCTCCATTGAGTGCTGTCCCCTCGGAGCAGGTACTTCTGTAGCTCCTGCTTCTCCCTCTGGTCAAGTGGGCATATGTCAAGTTGAGCGACCAACCTTGGCATGTTCAGAGCGTATTAACTGAAACTCGATTTTTTTGATATTTGAGAAAGGCATTTGGCCACTTTTGTTATTTCTCTGTTTGTATTTCACATATTTCTCCTTCTACTGCTGAGTTTGGTGATATATGATTCTGCAGTGAGTGGAGTTTGTGGATGTGTTTTGACAAAGTCAAGCTGAGACACAAATTAATTATGTTAGTCGTAGGAATAAGAGGGGCCAAGTGCAGTGGAAAGGCCTGTAAGTCAAAGGCCTATATGTTATTTATTTTGTGGACGCACACTAAAGCTTTGAAGTAAATTGGGTTAAAATGCATTCTGACAAGAAAACATGTGCAAAGTAATGCACAACTCACTCTTTATTAGGAGTTATTTATTAAACATTGTTGGCAGAGCCCCCAAGCAAAAGCATTACTATTAAATTGTAAATCTGTATACAATTGAATTAAACATGTTTGATGATGATATTGTCAAGTTTATTTGGCAAGTTGCTTCTATCAAAATGTACTTTATGTCTCCTTATTTCAGAGACAGGGGGACTGAAAGTAGTACACTCAATGTTGCACAATATTCTATTAGGAGTGGTGATTTCTTGTTTTAAGAGCTCACCTCTCCATCTGGCACATTTGGCAAAGGTCTCTTTTGTTCTCCAACAGGCAAAATCAGGATGAGCTGAAAAGTGCTGACAATGCACATCCTTAGCAGTTAAAGCGATGGGATAATGTGCACAGTGATAAGTGTGCGGAGTGTAATGCTCCATATTCTTTACCATTCTACAGAAGCCTCTGAGCTGTTAAAAGAGTAAGTCAATATTAGTCAACCGTCAGGCCACTAAGGCTCCTGTCGCGCTTAAGTGATTGAAAAGGAAAGTGGTTTTGAATGTTGTGCCGCAGTCTGGTGTGTGGCTCAGATGCCAACGCTTTTGTTATAATAGTGTTCCTCGACACTGCAGCAGCCTCACATAGGATGGATGCACCTCCAAGTGCGTGTCTGAGAAAAGGGTCAAAGAAATAACAAAGTTGTGCTGAATCAGCCATAAAAATGCTGTGTTTATATTGGGATAACAAGCAGCATGCCATGATTGCCATCACAAGGAAGAATAAGAGTGAGCCATCTCTGACACCCCTGCATTTGTTTTGGAGTTGCTGAAACGGGCAAGCTGCCAGTGTTCAGCACTTGTCTCTTTGAAGGAAAAAGTCACTTCATTAGAAGACACATGCAAGTGACGACAGAGTACATACCAAACTATCCAACCTAAACAAATGCTCAGATTATGAACTTAGACTGACTCTGAACACTGCTTTAATTGTATTATGAATTCAACATACTGTATGAGCTTTACAAATGCAGCTTTGATCATTGCTTTTAATCATTTAAAATGTGCAAACATTTATTGTTAAAATAAACCACAATTTGTGTATATGCATGTCGTTAGGTGAAGTAAAAGCAGACTCATAATTTATAGCCCACAGTCCTTAATAATTAATGACATCCACCACAAAAGTGGTTCTACTTGTCTACTGAATTAAGTATGATTGATTCACATATAGCCATTGAGAGCAACACTCTGGAAACGTCCCTATCAATGCTAATAGCACTGAGGTGTAACAATAGGACAGTGCTTCAACTTTATCCCTGCTTTCAGTCAAATGAGAGTGATGATTAGGGTGATAATACTCCAGAGATGATAGGAGAGCGAGTGGCCGGAACTTTAATGTACTTGAAGTAACTTTCCTTGAAATGTAATATGCAATATAAATACTGTTTCAATATTGTTATCATCATTACTGTTAACAGATTAATTAAAGTAGACCTTCTAGAGGAACACAAACAATACTAATTTTGCTATAATAATGTGTAAACTGCCAAATAATTTAGAATTATATCAATAAACCTATGATTAGGGTCAGATCTACTCGTTTAGAGTTTGACACTATATTAGAAAACGTCCTTATAATATATTTCATAAGATAAAATAGAGCTATATATATTTTAATTCAGTACAGTGTGCATATTGAAAGAATAAGAAAACAATGACCCATAGGCTGCCCAATGATTTTATCTTGCAGATCGAGGCAAGGGCAACACAATGTCAACATTGCCATCTACTGGTTTTTCAAAGAATAACTTGGAGTGAGCGTAGTTAGAAAATAAAAATAATAATTCCACATGAAAATGGTGAGGTATTAAATAGCCTATTTGTTAAGCACTTTGATAAATCTATACACATTCCTAGGACGCAGCCTTTCGTTTTATAGGTTTTAAAACATCCAGCTTCAGTCAGCAGATTGTTTCAGTTTGCTACACTGCAGAGTTTGTTCTGCAGAACAACACTTTCACTGAGCTCTCCTGAATTCTGGCCAGTGGCTATAAAACAGAAGGAATACGTCAGGGAGGTGGGCAGCAGCAGTGCGGGTGGAGACTGCTGCAAAGATTCAAAGGCAGAAAATCACAATGAATAGGGAATGGACTTTAGTGTCTTATTATCTTTATATCTCTCAATTAGGCAAGTAATATGAAGTTAGATCAAATGTACAAGCACCTGTTAACCACACTGTATGAAATGTAATCTCCAACTTTGCAGAAAATAATACTAATACATAATTAATTCAGAATGATTAGGTTTGTATCTTACTCAATCTTGAGTCAAAAGGAATAATGTTATTTAAAGAAATGACTGACCTGTGACACGAGGTGGTAATTTCATTGTATTTATGAATATTTTGAAAGCTTGATTCCTGACGTTATAATATGTTTTGCATAGCGGTCCGCCAGGGCGCAGTAATGAACAAAAGGTTCAGACAGCAGCTGCTTCGCTTACAGAAGAAGAGACCGTGTCACGTGACTGCATTGGAGCTGCGGTGGGCCCTAGCTTTAGCATTAGCTTTAGCATCACTTATTTAACTGAAATCTTTAACGGGCAGACACTTGGGAGTAAGATGGGCATTGAAGAGGAGGCAGACAGAACACTTTTTGTACGAAATCTGGATTCGAGGGTGACGGAGGAACTACTTTTTGAACTGTTTTTACAGGTGACGATTTTGTTAAAGCCGCTGCACCGTTAGCATCGTTAGCATCGTTAGCCCCACAGTTAGACCCAACGATAATGAATACCTATAGATAATGTACAATATTGCTATATTCACCTGAAATTGTGTTTATTCATTACAAAGTATATGTGGACATTAGTTAGAGCTATCAGTTGCGCCTTTATATCTTTCCCCGCTGTTTGCTAATGCTTACATAACTCACCTGCCATCGCTATGTTTTGACTCTACAGGCTGGACCTCTCGTCAGAACCAAAATCCCGAAAGACAACGATGGGAAGCAAAAGACGTTTGGTTTTGCAGTTTACAAACACGAGGTGTCTGCGCCCTACGCCGTGCAGCTTCTGAACGGGGCGATGTTGTTTGGGAGAACACTTCATGTACAGTTCAGATCTGGTAAGTCAGAAACCAAACAACAAGTACGATTATTTAACCTCATGTGTTCCCTGTTCAGTGGATGTGCATGTCGCGATGTGGTCAAATGTGTTTATTATTATAACACATATATTATATGACCGGCTTCTCTCACACACCTAAATTAAAGGAAGGAACCGACCTCTCCACTTTTTGAACAAAACTTTCTGGTCTTATTTGATGAGCATGTATTACCAGAATGATTGACAATTTGGATAGTCTTGACAATCCACCCGGAAGTAGAACATTTTCTTCTATGCCTTTTAAATATGGGAAGCATATGCTCATTGTAGGGCTGGGCGATATGGCAAAAAAGTAAAATCTCGATTTTATTTCCTGCTTTGGACGATGTCGATTTTAAATCAATTTTCATTAAAGTCACTCAAGACAGACTTGGCCCTTAAAATATGTTTTATCTTCCCGCTCAATATTTAAGTTTCATAACTATTTTTTATTTGTTTCCCCCAATACATATGATAAAAGTCTTGTACAGACTGTGCTGATATCGCAAGTATAATTGATGTGCTGCTGGAACTCTCACAATATCCCTCATTTGATTTCACGATTTTCACATTTTTCACGAATTCGATTTTTTTCAAAAGCCGATTCATTGCCAAAATTCGATTTATTTCCCAGCCCTAGCTCATTGTTTGTTTTACTAATGAAACCGTAACAAAGCTGTTTGGGGTCATTTTGAATTATTTTGTATAGCATCAACTGTCTTTGATCTTAAATAACATGCATACATACTTTGCTGACTGTTCATTCTCAATATATTTATAATTTGTGCTCTTCACAGGAAGCAGTCATGGCAATAGTCCAGGAAAGACGCAAAATTCTAATCCCGCAAATACTCCTAATCCCCATGGTGCAAGGTAGGGGTTTTTATATACCTTTAGTATAAAATATAAGAGAGATGAATTTTGGCACGCAAGCTGCACTTTTTTTCTGTATCTATGTAGGCAAATATTTGGTCACAATTATCCTATATTTAAAGAAATCTATTTTTGTACTAATACTCTAAACTAGATGATATGTGTAATTTTGTTTGCCTGGAGCTCTAATGACAGTATTTGACATGTGATCCCTGCTGTTCTAAATTAATGTGTTTTTTTGTTTGTTTTTTTTTAACTACAGGAGCCCAGTTCAGTTCAATTCTCCACCGTACACACCTCCGCAAACGCAGCGCTCATTCTTCAGTCCAGACAACAATTTACAGAAGCATGCCATGGTAGTTTCCTTTCCATCCACTATGGTTACAACATTTGTTTCAAATATGTCTAAATTAATGTTGTGTTTGTAGATGAACAATATGATGTGGTACACGCAGCAGATGCAGCACCTTGAACAGTTAACTCCACAGTCTTTATCAAGACCTGGAGGTAGTTCAAGGCACGACAACACACCGTACAGGCAGAACAACGAAAGCAGAGGTCGGTATCAGGATGAGTCCGGTTCAGGACGTCACCAGAACTTCGGCCAAAACGACCGGAGCCGTCATCATGACAACAGATCTATGAAGAGACACTACGATGACAGAGGAAGCTACCAGGACTCCAGGTTCAGACGCTGAGCAACAGGAGGATTTCATAAAGACACTTTCCACTCTATGGACAGATATTAGAAATGACCATAATTTTTGTCTTTGTGTATTCTCAGGTTGTTTATACGTGATCCACTCATGGGAGTGTGTATATAGGTAATGCTTTTGAGCATTTTTCTATAATTTTAATGTGTTTTTAAGCATTGTACATTTCTTTTGTTTTGAGCTTTTACAAAAAAAAAAAGACTTGGATTGAGGCCAAACAAGTCATTGTCTGGGGAAAAAAAGGAAAAATCTTTCTGATATGTAGGTACTTGGTGCTTCCAACATTTTAACCTCAAAGATTCTGCTAAAAATAGATTTCACCAGCGCCACAATTTCTGCACCTTTAGCCGACTATATTGTCTGGGGTGCATTGGGGATTGTTTTTTATTTTTAAAGTCTATTCTTACTCTCTAAAAAGTGTTTTAAATTGAATTGATTACATAAAGGCGTTTAATTTCCTGTTGTCCTTTGTCCACTGTGTCTGGTTGAAGTGATGAGCTATAATCATACTATGTTAGTATTTATTATTACACGTATAGTATCTAATGTCCATCACTGTCCCAGTGTTAACATGCCTCACTACAGGCTATCTACAGGTGGCGCCACCTACATCCCTTTATTGACTCAATTAAAACGTCAATTATAAGCAGCCTCTCTCCACACGTCTATTTTCACTATATTTCTACTTTCAAGTCTTACTAAGGGTTTAGCCACTTTCTTAGTCATTTATAATAATATCCTGGTAAGTTCATACTCATGGCTAAGCTTTGCTAATCGCATGGTGGACTATTTGACACCACCGAAACAATCCTGCGTTTATTTTTCCGATATTAATGACCATACCAAAAAAATGGTGATTGTCTATGTCCTAGAATTAGCAGCACGTTAATACCAAACTTCTCGTGTTACGTTCAGTGTTTGAGCATCTGCGTCCACAAAGTGATGATCAAATCCTTTAACGACCGCCTTCCGAAAGTGCTTGTCGCCAAAAGTGGCCCCGCGTTGTATGAGCGGCTTTATCCGCCGTAAATCTCTGCGTCCAAAAGTGACCGTGCATTTGCACTCTCGCGTACATTAAGCTCTGTGTCTTCTCTGTAATCTGTCTCGTCTTAGGTTGCATCCTGATGTAAGATATTATCCTTACTCTTTGATTTTGGCAATGATTATGAGGCCCGCGCTCTGCTGGGGGCATAACTCTTTAATTGCTTGATCTTCCTGGCGTCTCCACAGTCCGCTCAGTCGCCGCTGTTTTGGCCCGTGTCCATCACTGCTCACACAGTGGGTGCAGAGTCCGACTGCGAACGACAAAGTAACCAAAATTATCTTAATAAACACATTCAATGAACCTTGGGCTCTAAATACAATGTATGCGGGCATGTATTTGATAGCACAAAATAAATCTTTTGTTTATACTATTTTGTTGAAGGAAAATGTTTCTGTTGCATGCGAGGGATCTAACCATGGATCTATAACGGATCTAACTGGCTGAGCATGAGAGGTCCTCTCGTTTTCTCTTTTCTGCCTGAAAAAAACTAATCCAAAGATGTGGCAAAAATTTCCCCGCTATGGGACGAATAAAGGTTCTCTATAAGCTTGACGAAATGCATGCTTGTGAAAACTAGTTGCAGAACTAAACTTTGAATTTTATTTTTAAGTTGGGTGTACCCCAGTGCGGCACACACATATATTTGATCGAGGCCATGCATTATTCTTTAGATATCTCATATTTGTTTAGAAGTGGCCTTTGTGTTCGGTGGTAGAGGCATGTATTATCATTTAATAATTGAAACAGATTGACAGAATAAATCACACCGAACCCGGATTGGACCAAGTTGACATGGACTTAAGAGATCTGATAAACAATTGATGGAATCATGTTTTCCGTAGATTTATTATTTATTTATTTATGGAAAGAAAGGATTCACAAACAGGGGTACGTGGCAAAACCAGACGACATATTTTCCCCTGACATTATTTTCTTAGTGTCGACTTTACACTCGGTGGAATCTAAGTTTCAAAAAGTAAAACAAGCTTCGGTTTTACGCAAGAACTCCTCTCACATGCAGGTTCGCATAATGTGTGATTGTTGTTCAGCTTCTCTGTACTTCATTGTTTGGCATAAGTGAGCAAACTGCAGTTGTTTTTGTGAATAGGGCGAGTGCGCGTGTGTCTGTGGGGCAGAGGCAGAGGCAGAGGCGGGGGCAGGGCGGATGGAGCGGTAAAGATGTTCAGACTCCGATGGTTTATATAGCAGAGGGTGTGAGCGCACGCAGCAGTCACTCCATGAGCGTAAGGCGCAGCTTCAGGGCCATTTGCAACATTTTCAAAACTGAAGCAGGTTCAAAAGATCATGAGTTACTTTCTACGTGCGTGACCTCGACCTGTTGAACCAGCCTTAACTTGTAAAACTTACTTTTTGTCCAAACACTCCACTTTGCGTATCTGAGGAACCAAACCAGAGAGGGAGACACCATGCACTGTCAAGCCGAGCTGAGGCTCTCCACTCCCGGGCAGCTCAAAGCGGCAAGAAGACGCTACAAGACGTTCATGATCGATGAGATTCTGTCCAAAGAGACTTGTGATTATTTTGAGAAACTTTCTCTTTACTCTGTGTGCCCTTCGCTCATCGTCAGACCCAAGCCGCTCCATTCATGTCCAGGTAAAACACTTGTATTTATCTTCTTATCAGAGTAAACAATATCATTTGGCACTGTGCAAAAATGTCTAATTCATATTCATTTTAATTACCTCTTTAGATTTTTAAATCATGGCCTTAGGCATAACTTGCATTTTCTTCATCAGTTTGTATTTGCTATCTGGTTCAATAATCACACATCCTAATCTCCACCGGAAATCACCTTTTTGTCACACTATATCCGCTCTTAATTATTTTGTGGTGAAAGAGATAATAGAAATGCTCCAAGGCGTGTAAGTCATCAAGATAAAACGATTGATGAAGTTCATGTGGGGCTATATCTTTACGTATAATGCAATAGTCAATCAATCAATCAAAGTTTATTTGTAGAGCGCCTTTCATACGCAGGGCAACACAAAGTCAGAAATATACTTCCCACTCTTTTTGTCGGCTTCTTTTGTATCATTTAGGGGTATTCCATTTCATTTTAAATTCCTTCCTTGATGCGGTTTTGTATTATATCTAGCCACTTGTTTTATTCAGTCAATATATACATATACTTGTGTCTAATCCAATTTATTGCAACAGGTTAGTTTATATATGTGGTTAAAAACAAATCCAAATGTCTTTTTCGCAGACCAGTGACCACTACACCTCAGCTGCTGCGCACACTTGTTGCTTTACCCAATCAAAACAACTAAGGCTGTTTAGATAATTGTAATTCCACTTAGAGGCAAATAACTGCACTCTCGACTCGACACGTGCTCTAACCATTAAGATAATTGCCCTAAAGTCTGAAATAATGACCAGCGCAATTTGTACGATGACAGCGGTCTGGGAATAAAAATAGCATCCCCTCATCTCCGGGATATGAATTGGTGTGTGCTGGGACGCTTTGGCACGCGTCTTTGCGCATGGATAGGGTGACCTGATGGGCGCGCATATCAGAACAGTTCGCCCACCGCTTTATTTGTATCTGAGTGGGTGTGAGATACAGTATATTGCCCAACTTCATTGCTTTTACGGGCTTTATATAGACTCTTGGCCGCCTCTGAACTCCCTAAACTGTGATATTGTGGGAATGCTTTTCCATATTTCCGCCAGTAGAGGCCATGAGAGGCACTGTTTGTTAAGCCTGTGAATGTATATAGGCTTAAGTTGTTTTTAGCATTGACCATGCTGTAGATAATCATGTTTAATCTCTCTTGAATTAGATGTAATTGGGAGTAGTTTTCTTGGTTTTTTTTTAAAAACAACAAATACAAAATACATCCAAGTGTTAGTTGTGGGATAAGGCTTCACTTTTTCAATGTTTGGGTTTTTTGCATTTATCCGTTTGGCTTTTGTTATTTTTTTATTTTAACTTTTGTTCAGGCAATGTCTCAAGCCTAACAGCATGTGAATGTTTCATATAGGCTCTCTACCATTCACTCAGTCTAAACGCCCAGCCCAAATTAAAGTTTTCACGCTCAGATTCACGCTCAAATTCACGCTCAAATTCACCTATTATCAATTATAGGGAACAAAGAGAACTGTAATAGGTCAATATAATGATAATAATAATGATAAAAATAATAATAATAATAATAATACAAAAAACACTGGTGCTAATAACAGGAATAATACCTGTATACAATTATATTATATCTGCATTCTAAGGAATATAGTGTTTGACTAAATAAAGTTAAGTAACAGTAAGTAACCTTTTTCCACATAACTGAATGTCATGTTGGATTCACTTAATGAAGTCAATTAAGTCCAACAATATTAATACATTTAAATATTTTATTATTTGAATGCAACACGACAGTTATGTGGAAACTTCCTCAATTAAATTATTGTGTGATAACTACCTAAAATCTACATTCATGGATATACATATAAACAGAACTTTATCAACTCTATTTTATATCAGGTGTTGCTAAAAAGATACACTATGACACTATAAAAATCCATAAACAGGGCAGTGCGTTTCTGCTCATGACTCACTTGAAATCCAAATAACTAAAAAGTTTTCTAACGTAATCCTCGTCCATTAAGCTTAGAAAGGCTTGATTACACGCCTGTCATTGCTGCGGTAAGTCACATACACAAACATAAAGCACAACACTTTTCTCTGGATTAAGTTTCAGAAATCTGTCATCTCCTCCTCAGTTGTCATCAGATTGTGTCTTTCGCAACACGCCGTGAGTTATGAACTGGTTGTTAAAGCAGGTTGTGCTACAGGCTTATTTTACCTCATCACGAGTCAACCATGTCTGAGAATAGGTATCAAATTAAACAGTTATTGCTAATGTTTAATGTCTTTTTCTGGAAAGTGCCTTCATTTCAAATAGCAGTAGTTTGAAATATGCCTGGGAAAATATCAGATTTCATTGTTTCATCTCCTGAAGGTATAAGAGGTTAATTAAAAGAAACACATTTGGATTGAATAGGGAGACTTGTTACGCCTCTCACGCTGATTGATGTGCACTCAAAGCTGCTCTTCTGAATTGCTAAATAACTATATTAAATTACTGAAGAGTGTTACAGTTTTTAAAGTGGATTATTGAAAAGTACACCATGGCTTTTTTATAGTATTATGCAGTGTAATATTCAGGCATACACTGCTAGGGTCACACAAGTGCAATTCCAGAGATTTGCGAATAGCACATCATTCAAATTCATCGATACAATTAGAACACTGACAAGTTTCTGGAATTTGTCAACAACGTGTCACATCGAGAAATGTTTAGTATTTACATAATGACATGTTCTTTTGTTCTCGCTTTCTCCGAAACAAATTCCGTCACAACGTTTCCTGACAAAATTCCATGCATGTTTTAAAAAAGTGAAATAAAAAAGTCATCATGAAACATACATCTTCACATGTGGAAAGACTCTTTCATAATACATGCTTTTTAGTTGCAAAAAACAATATATTTTCTTGCAAAGCTGCAGAGAGGTTTCTTGTCTAGACCTGTTGCTTCTATTTAGTCCCGATGGAGGATTAGTGACTTCAGTGTCTCTGGATGATGTCATGATGAGCCCAAGGCAGAGACTTCACTGTGTACCTGCTGCACTTAATGTTCCTCACCCTTGACTCACATCTTCAGGACGTTTTATTGCCTGCGCTTGAACAATTTTGAGCCTTTTTGCAGCTACAATCATCCGTTTGTTAAATTACACAAATCTGCTGACGCTAGAAGTTTTGCTTGAAATTAATCTGGAAAAATAATAATATAAAATAGACATTGTAATTGCATGATTTCAATATTTTACTCTCATTCATTTGGAGGAATGGTAATTTCCTATTATATTCTATGTAATAATTCTGCTCTTAAACAGGCTGTTTTTGAGTTGTGAATATTCTGAAACAATGTGGAGTTAAAACAAAATACATAGAAAATAATACCCAGAAAATAAATTCTGTGTCAAATCTCAATGTCCTAAGTAACAGTAACAGTAGTTGTAAAATCAAGTCATAAGTAAATAAATAAATATCTATATGTTTTAATGCAGTGACTTTTGAATATTGTTGCACTTTTTAATAATAATAGTTCTTTCTGTCTTTTAGTGTATTAATAATTTTAGTAGCTGTCTATATAATAGCACTGTACATGCAGAAAAATATAAAAAATCCTATAGTACTAACTCAACCATGTTTGTGTGGTGGTAGAAAATCTGGCAGTACTAGTATATGCTGGTAGTATATTTAGTGGAGGTCAGGAATAGCCTTGTAAAATACTGTGCGTCACTGAGTTCACAGCCCCTTACAAGACTGAGGTCAGCACAAAAACACTTTTCACCGCAAAAATAGCAGCGGTAAAATATCAACTCGTCTCAGCAATTAGGAACGATCAATAAGAGGCCCGCCGAGGTCTTGCTATCCCTTTTTTATTACATTTGATTTACACTCTTCTCCCTCCTCCGTTGCAGGCTCTCCGTCTCTGCGCGCCTACCCGCTCCTGTCTGTGATCACGCGGCAGCCCCCCACCCTGGTCGCCTCTTCACACCTGCCCCGGGACGGCTCCCCCCACCTGCCTCACGCCCACGGGCAGGAGCCGTGTCCCAGCCAGACCCCCCTGAGCATCAGCAGCGAGTCGGACACGGAGCTGGGCACGCCCCGCCTCAAGAAGCCCAGACGCAGCCGCACCATCTTCACCGAACTGCAGCTCATGGGCCTGGAGAAGAAGTTCCAGAAGCAGAAGTACCTCTCCACACCGGACCGGTCAGTCTGAGAGGCCAGATAGTCGTCAATGGGAAATAATATTGAGTTCTTAAAAGTGTTAGCTAGTGAGAATTGATTTTGAATATTCAGATTTTTCTCACCCCTTTTTCCCTAATTAGCAAAAAAACTGTATATTTATTTGGAGAACATGTCTTCAGTAGTCCTTTAATATAAATTATTATAACAATGTAATATATTTTCTATTATTGTGTTTATTTCTTTACCATTTATACTTTCCGAGTCAGTTTGGAGTATCTATTTATTATATTTATGCAACTAATATATGGATTTGGATTATGATTAGATTATGTAATAAATTTGGAAAAACAGATTTCTCCGTTTTTAAAATGATCCTCCCGCCACAACGTTTAAAATGTTTTATTTTAGGCAGTACATTTGAAAGAGGGGGTGAAACTGTATTTGTGTGTCACTGAAATAGATCTGGCTTTTCCAAAAAAACACTTTAAATTATAAGCCATTCAAATATTTTTTCTTTCTCAATCTATTTTTGTTAATTAACTATATATTCAATAGCCCCATTACATTATTATAGTCTTATTCTTAGTTTTTTTTTTTGGGGGGGGGATTTCATTTTTGGGATGACTTATTTACACATTATGTTCACTGTGCTCTCATACAGACTTCCACATGATACTTCTCAATCTCTGGAGTGTTTTTTTGAGTCCTATAAGGATCAAAAGGATCAAATTATCAGTATTAGCTTTGTTCACTTGGTCACACGTATACACCAGACGTCATAGTTCAGAATCTCACACTGGTCTGAGACTGTCTTCCACATCAAGGGGAATGGTTAAACGTGGTTCATAAATGATTACAATTGTCCTTCTTATCCTCCCAAAAATCATTTTGTGCGAGGACATTTCATAATCCGAAGAAAAACATGGGTGCATCCAAAGTGTCTCATTTGCCGTTTTTAAATTTTAACCCAATCTCAGAGCGATTTGACTCGTACAGTAAAAATGTCGCAGTGACATTTTGATAACCTGCAAAAACATACCTGTGATTAAGTGCATTTTTGACACATGCATGCTTATACACTAACAGAAAAAGGCAGGCATTCACCACACCACAAATGCAATTATAAGAAGTGGTTAACGCGGCATCATAACTTTTCATTTATCCTGTGGGGATAGTTGGGAGTAATGTGAATTTGAAGGAGCCAAAAGCATTACCTCAGCATTCTAGTTGGGACAAGATTTTAACTGTAAGCAGTTCAAATATGGTGAAGAAGAAGAAAAAAAAAAAACCTTCCACACTGCCTCATTCAAGGAAACAGGGAGAGCTGCCAAGCAAAGCAAACACAAATGTTTTACACTGATTTCCTGCCAATCATATTGCACATGTGCAGGTGTACTATCTATAAAAGTGTGTTTCATTTGCTACAATAAGATGAGGTAATATCAATGGCCGAAGCTTTAGGTCAGCTTTGGGTCTGCGCTTGAGTCGGAACTGCATTTTCCAGTTTTACTATGATTTCTACTCACCCTAAAGGCTATTTCCCCCCAATAAGCCATGGCACTATTGAAGCATGCTATAAACGTTATAAAAATCTGCGTTTCAAAGCAGCTGCAGAAATCCAAGGACTCAGTCACCCATGAAAACAAACTGACACATTTCTGATTTATATCAATTATTAACACAGCTGATGCCTTTACACCACAGAGAAAAAAGTTTGTTACTGCCCTGCTATTATGTGGTGCAATGTAATATTACAACATGTTGAAAATAGCCCTGTTTTTTATTCTATTCCTTTCCCCCCGTGAAAGATAACACAATACATTATTTAATAAGTCTTGTCTTGGCTGCCGTGTCTGGAAAGACTCTCTGGTCCTGAAGCCTGGAGACCGAACAGCACGATCCAAAAAGCCACCCATGCAGCGCCCTGTCAGAGTCTCCCATCCTGACACTGTAGAAAATTAATTAAACATCCAGCTGGCAGGAAATCATCAGCCAGAAAATCCCCGTGCATTCTCCCCTCAGTTTGTTGTGATCCAAAGATAACTGCGGTTTTATTCCTTTTGTCTTGGCACGGGACCACATGGTGTTGATAGCTGAAACCATGGCATCCGTAAATATCACACACTATTTTTATCATGGTGTTAAAATGAGTGACTTCTTTGTTTGATTATAATAATCAGTGTCAAAGTAAATCCAGTGATTACCATTATTATGTCTTGGTTTCAGTTTAGTGCAGCTCTTTTAAAGTTGATTTCAGGTGTAATCAGTTGTTAAGGTGACACACTAGCATACACAAATCTAAATCTAAATGACATGATCAAACTCAATACTGCAATTAATGTAAATTAACTATATTCTGCATAACACTGAAACGAAAGGGTTACTTAAAATCTAGATGCAATTTCTTAAAGCTGGGGTACATCACTTTTTCTTATAGGGTATATTCAGACAATAAAAGACTTCCACATTGATAAAGGTGTTAAAAAGTAAACCAATCAGACCACAACATTCTATTTTTATCTTATTACAAAACAATGTATTATTATTATTATTATTTTTCTTATCTTTTGCATACTGAGAGCTGATTGGCTGAGAGAGCGCTGGTACTCATTTCTCATTGAAAAAGCTGATCTATAAAGATGTGACAAAAGCCAAAAATACTGTACATGCATGTAAAAACTAGCGATAGCACCCGCCTTTTTTAACGCCAGGAACTAGTGACTTAGAATTTATCACAAAAATGTTTTATTGTTCAAAGTTTAATAAGTTTAATACTAATAGACGTAAGAAAGAGCAAATGAACGGTCCATACTCCTCTCGTTCGTGTTTGATGTCGTCTTCCTGAGTGTGTATAGCCTCTAAAAGGAGTGCTGCTAATAACCTTTATCTCAGAAGCTTTCAGAAGAGGAAGTCTATTCTGTAACCAATCAGATAAACCCTCCCTCTCAAATCAGATTTTGTTATTTCTTGTGTCTTTCACTGCGGTGTTGCGTTACCGACTGACCCAAAGACATTTTAGTCATGGATCAACACATGTGCTGGATGCATTTTAGCCCTTTTTTCAACACCAATCATTTATCCGCAAGAGGCCGATTGTGTTACGAAAGCCAGCGCACGGTTAGCCAGCACTTCCTATTGGTGCAGGTGTACAGTGTCAGCGTGGCTTTGATGTGCGAGACAAAACTTAAGTGCTTTCTTATCCCACTGTTTGAAATGTTCCCTTTCGCCACATACAAAGGAAACGACAGTAAACGGAGTATCGGAAATAGCAGGTGTTAAAACCGGTGTCTTTCGTTTTTTGCAGGTTAGACCTCGCGCAGTCTCTGGGACTCACTCAGCTCCAAGTGAAGACGTGGTACCAGAACAGACGCATGAAGTGGAAGAAAATGGTAAATAGTTGTAAGATACTTTTGTCCATGTTTTGATATTCGTATAATGATCATAGATACCGTATCAGTGTTTGTGCAGCACTTCGCAACAGTTGGATTTGGATGGGATTTTTTTCAGTATTTTTATTTATGGTATTGAAAAACAAAAAAAATAGTTGATTAAAATGTTTATTTATTTGTCATACACAAGTCAGTGCACAGAAAGCACCTATCAACTCACTTGAAAAATAAATTCAAAATGCATTCAAAGACTATACACAGAACTGATGCCTGTCATAAAGAGCTAATATTTGAAAAAAAAGTATATTAAGCATATATTGTCCTGTAGTGCTATAGTTTTTTCCTGTTATTCCAAATATTATTTTTGTCCAACCTATTTTGTTTCAACTATTTTAGTTACGGTATGTATACCTTTTGGTTAATACTCTATACAGATTACAAGCCAAAATTTGGACTCAACTGACTTGATTTCCTACATTGTTTCAATTTACCTTTGAAAGACGCACAAGATCACACTAAAAAACACACCCACACACAGGTTCAGGACAATCAAAGAAAATAAAAAAACAAAAATGCTCTCTCCCTATCGCTGTGGAGTGACGTTCATTATTTTGCATATATTTTGTATGGAATTGAAAAAGAAAGGAACAACAATGTAAAGGCAGCTACACAGAAGGTGCTAATTGTGGTCAGCGCTAATAGTCCGGAGGTGAACGTGTGCGGTGATGACAGCAGCGAGAGCAAACACTTTAGACGAAAGGGTCAACAGAAGTCAGGGAACAAAAAAAAAACCAACCCAAATCATTACAGACAAATGAGCGCCGTGGAGCAGCCAGGGGCCATCCGTCTCTTTAATGACCATAATAGCCCACGATGGCTTTAACTACTGCCATTTATTTCCACCACAGCCCTGGCCAACCTGTCTCTGTGTCTCTGTAGGTGCTGAAAGGCGGTCACGAGGCCCCCACTAAACCCAAAGGGCGACCAAAGAAAAATTCCATCCCCACGACGGAGGAGATTGAGGCCGAGGAGCGCAGACTACAGCTGGAGGAGGAGAGGAGGCGGCGAATGGAAGGCGGGACGGCGAGCGAGCAGGACGAGGAACAAGAGGTGTTTTTGGACACGGAAACGGAACCTCACAACACGCAGGAAGAAGCCGAGAAGATGCAGCTCGTAATGCCGCCAGAGTGCCAAAACACAAGTTAAATGTTACCGATATGCCAAAGACTGACGCCAGCCGGATCAAAAGGCCTGTGCCGCTGTAGCCATATGTTTAAATAGGGTTGTGACTCAAACTTAGCCATATATACAGTATATTATAAGTGGTATTAAATGAGCCTATTTATGCTCATTGCACTGGTATAAAAAATACATCAGGAATTCTCAAAACACTAATATCTGCCTCAAGTTTCCTAAATGTGCCAAAATGTCTATGTTTGCCTTAATTGCCATCTATAGTCCTGCAATAGACCGTCACTGCCAAAACTATTTTGAGCTATACAGTGCCTTCCATGTTCTCAAATGAAATTTCACTTTGAGTTTAAAGTGATTTTTACTGTGCAGTTTTTATTTTGTGTATGAGAAATGTATATTTAGAAGATTGGAAATATTGTATTATATGAATGTAAAGTTATTGACTGTACAACTGTAGAAAGGTGTAAAATATAATTCACACAAAAACACACATTTTCTGTCTTTTTGTCACCCTTCTGACTTTTCTTCCCTTTAAAACAAAGACATAAAGCTGTTTACTTCTAGAGTTGCATGTGTTGCCTAACACTATGTTGTTTTATCACAACACTGTTTTTACTTGTTTGCTTCTGACCATTTGATATTTTTCGTATACAAATTCAGTATTTTTCAGATGTAAATAGTGCTTGTTTAGACCGCTTATCCATTTTTTGTTTTTTATGTGTAGAACATGAGTTTTACTTCATACAAATGTGTGTCTGTGTATTGGAATAATGCACTTAATAAAATTGTATCAAACATTTTTGAGTTTTATTTCCTCTTACTATGTTTTTTATAAAATTAATACAATAATCTGGAATAGTTGTGCTAGACGTGTCGAATGTGGAACCTGAAATCAAAATACGCCTTATTTCTCAGTAAGTAGGAAAAGCAATTCTGTTTAAATTTTAATAATCCATAACAGACACAATTAAAATCTCTTTCCAGTGACACACACTATGATAATGACTTATCAGTCACTACGTGGAGTGCATAAATCAAACAGTTACAGTAGCTGAGACATGTAGATGTGTGGGCAGAGCCATTACTGATGTGCATCAGGAGAAATATTAGACTTCGTCAGAGTTCACCATAAATCAAGTTCAACAGAACAAAGCATTTAAGTAGTTTGCGTTGTGACATTTATCATCTTTATCTGCACTGCAAACACTCTGGCCTGTGGTGCACCCAAGGGCCCTTCGTGACCCTGATCCAGTGCAAAGGAGTCTAAAGAATATTTTTAGTGGCTGATGGCGGACATGGATGGTTTCATAAAGTAAACACAGAGGTTTGCTTTGAGTGATTGTGCGCGGGGCCTGAACGCCCAGTGCAAACATACCTCTTCACATGTGTGTGTTGGCCTGACATGCGGCTGGGAGATGAAGAAACACTGGTTTCAGTGCAATAACTCATGTTTACACTGCACCTGATTGACGGTCAATCACTGCTAATGCCAACTTCAAAATATGATTTTAAAAAGAATAATCAGCCATTTAGTTTTAATTTAGATTTTATTTTATTTAGACAGAGATGTCCTTCACCAGATTATAGACACTCAGATAGTTCCCATCTGCAGTCTGCAGTTTCATTTTACATTAATACAATATATAATAACATAATACAAAAATAAAAAAATACATAAAAATTTGTGATATAGTTCAATACAAAACAAAAGACTTTGACTGTTCATTCCCACAATACATTTGAAATAATTTATTAAATATGGCCACGTAATTTCTACTACTTTGTGATTATGAGCGGCATGTGTTCATCAAATAATGAATTGAGCTTTCATCTTTATTAGCATGCATTGCCTATGACTCAGCACTACACCTGCAACAATTTATAGCTATAAAAACCTTTCTGACTGTTTATAATTCTGATCTTTAATTGCAAACGATGGGTGCTAACTTGTTCTGCCTAACGCTGTGGTGAAAACAGACTCAATGACTAACTGCAAGTCCTCACAGGAGGCTTTAGCTTCCTTTAGGCTAATTGTTGTGTGGCAAGCTGAGGAAGACTTCTCTGATCTGCCCTGGGGAAAGACACTGGTGGCCTAATTGAGGAACCTGTTATTTTCTCACAGGCCCAAGTTCAGCAGCAGGTCACCGAGGAGTGAGTGCTGCAGCCGACCACACCCCCATCCATCGCACACCTTCACCTGTCGGCTTAACGTACGCTCAGGTAATTAGCAGGGGCCCCAGCGAGGGGGAGAGGGGGACAGGTCAGAGGAAGTTATCGCTAAATGTTGAGTGCAACCACAACCCACAGCTTAGTTAAGTCAATAAAGGTGGATGCTTTCTGCAACATGCACAATGCCAGCTATTGTCCTCCCAGAGAGCGGAGAGAAGCAGTGAGTGCAATAACAGTAGGGCTGTTGACTGGATATACAGAGTTGTGTTGTGCAATGCAGATTTGATTTCTCTCCTCTTCCAAAAATGAAATAAACATTCAATTTAGTTGCATCGTCCATGAGTTGCATTGAAACTCATGAGAAGTAATACAAAGGCCTACTATCATTCAGAACATCCTGTTCAAATTGCAGGCACCAATGTCATACACTTTATTGTCTTAATTACAGGTATTGAAATGACAGTTTTTCCTTGAGTTGAGTTTTATTATTCCATTATTTTATCTATGACTTTTTTGGCGCTAAGCCTGGGTCTGAACCGTGTTTCTTGTATGGCCTAAAATAGACAAGTACAACACACTGGCCAATAACAGGACTGGTATGATACTTTAAATATAGTGTTCGCTGACAAACAGCCATTCATCCGTGTCATTGACTGATGGTTGTTTAATGGTTTCAATATGTTGTGGGATGGAGAAATGGCAGTTGGTTCTCAAGCTGATTTGGTAGATGTTGGCCAGTAGATTGCATTTTAAAATGAAAAAGCAGCCGCATAATGTTAACCATGAATATGATCAATTATCTTGTGTTTAGTAGCAACAATTCTAATAGTGAGTGAGAAGTGTTTCTTCTAAAAGCATAAATCAGGCAGTAGATACATGGGCTAAGTGTGTCTTGGTGCTTGTTTTTGCTGCAGGCTTCCTTAAAGGCCTCCATTTCCTCTGTTCAGGAGATGGGCGGTAATAGACCTGTCAATGCACCTATACCCAGAAGCTACTGTGAGTGCGGCCACAGCATTATGGCGTCGTCAGAAAACCCCTACCTTTTTAAGAAGTCCCCTGTTGTAAGCAGAGTAACATCTGCCTGTGTCATTCATCCACATAAGATGTGAAATGTTCAACAATTCATAATTGGTGATATATAAAAATAAGTCACTGTTGTTGGTCATGTTGACATCTACAATTTAATGGCTTTATGAACAGCGCTGTTGGTTCTTGGAGGTTGGAGTCTAATTAACTAAAGAAAACTGAGCTAATACACTTTGTGCTGAAGTAAACAGCCCAGCTTGGGCAAGTAAAACAAAAAAAACAAGACGACCTGCCAAGCCCAGTACTTAAGTCTCTTAAGACTGTTTGACAGTTCTAGTTCCGGTTCATTGTTTTTCTTACACTTCTGGACACTTCCTGTTTTTTTTAAAGGAGGGAGAAAGTGTTTTTTCAATCTTCTTTCACCTCTCGTACCGTACCAGGCGTAGACAGGTAATAAGCCAGGTGTGGAATCAGGCCGATATTCAAGTAATTCCCGAATAGAGAAAGAAAATCAAAACAAGCAAGGATAGGTTTTGGTGAGTGACAGTTTGTGAAGAGGCTATTTTCTCAGCAAGTTTAGCCTCACTTCTGTCAGCGCCTGTGACAGCCCCAGTATGTCAAGGATGTAGTGAAGGGGCTGCCAGCGCTGATGTCACAGAGCAGCCAGGGGTCAGCTGTCAGATTATAAGCAAAAGGGTGGGGCCAAGGGACGTGTGGGCGGGGCAAACACACTCTTTTCCTTTTGTCATTAAGAGTTTACCTCAATATGCATCTTTAACAAGCGTTGAGTGATTTGACAATCGCGCACTGCACAGTTATGCCTAAAACGGTTGCAATAACACATAATTATATATTTTCAATGAGAACTTTGGATAAATTACAGATATAACATTTTAATATGCGCTGTAATAAGGGTAATTCATAGGGTTGCAAAATAAGAGACAATTAAGTGGCACGGTACAACTACATGACAATGATGTTATTATATGAACGAACAAATTGTATTCTAGTCATGCATAAATACAGGCGGCAGACAATACGCCCGTGGTTAAACATCTCAAATGATACTTGGGTAATATTGAAGAATGCTCGAGCATCTGTCCTTTCGCTGGAGCAGACAAACCCCTCTTTATGTGGCTCACCTTGACATGAGTCAGTTCCTCTTGAGTGGCTGTCAGAAGGCATCAGAAATCACAAGTGCTGTGGCTGCCAATGGCCCGTCCCCCTCCACCTGTTGTGACACTCGTTGCTATAAACATTTGTGTGATTTGAATTGCGTATGCCGTCCTGTAATGTTTCCTTCAAGATGTTATCTTTTGGGATCTGGCTCCGTGCCCGTGCCCTCAAGATATGTGCAAGAGCTATAAAAACTACTCAAATCAGCACTGGAGTAAAGGTATTTTTTTCTACATCCCAAAGGCTGTGATAGTGAAAAAAGTCAACATCAATAATTCAATGTCTTTACGCTTTGTTTCTTTTGTCTGAATGTATTTTCATAACCAAGCCAAAAATTGAAGATGCTCTCAACAGAAGTGGCTGCAAATACATTCTAAACTTGTCCAAGGTTTTTAAACAGTTTTGGTACTGCATTGTACCGTACTCAACAAACCAAGACCACCAACAAATTGATTTAAACTAATTATTTATTGATTGATTGATTTATTTGATAGGGACAAGTGTACACAATCAACATGTGGAACACTACGACATTTATGGTCAAGGTTAGTTTGCAATGTCCGTCCCTGGGAGGGCTTTTAACAAAATAAAAAACACATTTTACATTGTGGTATTCACATTATACAAAAGCAGGTGTTCTC